CCGGTGTTGAACCACTAGCCTCCACGGGTGACGAGAATAAGCAGTTTCCCCCTTAGTGGGATGGCAATGTTTAACAGATTTTAATTACATTTCAGGGAAATCATTAAAATGATCTATGCTTGCTCACATGAAACGAGGCTGAGATAAATTCGCCTGTGCAAAGGGGAAATCCATATCTCACTGAATGAACGATCGCTTACTGGCCTCCCGCTCTTTGTGCATAAAGCAAGCAGTAGAGGAGCAGTACTCTCTGGGGAGGGCTCGGGGGTCACGCTGTCCCCCTCTACTGTCACAATCCCAGGGACGAACAAGGGCAGTCCGAGCTATCAAAAATAGCAGATTCAAAAGTTTCCCAGGCCCGGTCACCCTGATCATTCACACTCTTCATTCTTTTCAGGCCTGCAGTCCAAGCCTTTGAGTGTGTTCTGCAGGAGGAGTTTGCAAGCTCCTTGATTTTTATCCAACCACCCAAAGACATTTTGTGCTAGCTCTAGAGTAGGGATTCCAAAAACATTACCCCTAAATTAACCTTATCCAATTGCTAAAACTAACTGGCGGGTGGGCTGTGAGCAAGACTGCAGCCATGTTTGTTTGGATCCGCCAGGCTTGGGTCTAATCATTTTGCTGAAGGGGGTTATGTATTTATTATTGTTGTTTGCTTTCACTGTTTCTCAAGGATTCAAACAAGGGTTTGGCACATTGTTTACTATTTGAATGAGGGGGGATACCAGGTTGTTAGAACAAAGTGTTCTTGCATTGAGGGAGGGGTTGAGCAGAGGCCCAAGTCTGTCCACTTCCTCAATGTATTGCCATATGCACATAAGTCAATACCTCTAGTTTTATAAATTAATCTATTTACCTAAGTGCACACCTATGGATCAACAGGTTTTTGTGGTGCATTTGGACTGAGATAAACTAGAAAGAGAGGCCTGGGGATCTACTGTTGAAAAGTGGTTGAAGAAAACTGTGTGGATCCCCATGGTACCATCTGCAGCTGACTGTGGTGGGGATGGCGCCGGAATGGACACCCTTTCCTTTCCCGTGCCGTGGAACCACGTGAGCCAGAGATAACTGAACGGCAGCTAGCAAGAGCAGCAGCAAGGACAGCTGAAAGTCACAACTTTCCCCATGTTTTTTCCCCTTTCCCCAAAACACAGGTAGGCAGCTGCCACGGAGGGCCCGGCATTCATAAAGCCCGGAGAGTAAAGGGAACAAAGGAAGCATTGGCAAGAACCTGGGACGTACAGAAGGAGGGTGAAGCGCCATCAGACAGATGTCCCTATCCAGCGGTACATCCCGAACACTCAGCATTTCTAGAATCTCTCTCTGCGCTCGCTCGCAGCGCACTCCGCTCTTCTCTGCAAGGGCAGAGATGACGAGGCACGTCTTCCTTCAAGGACACCATTTGACAAAAGCCGCATCCTAATGGTTGATCCGTTCATAACCCTGGCCTGCAATTAGGCCTGGGGGTGGGGGTGAGCCGTGGTACATTTTTTGAAGGTGAGAACCTAGCCTCCCTATTCTGAGTGGGTTGACTACATTTCCACGAGCGAGAGTTTCAGCCAAGAAAGGTAAATAGGAAATTGAGGGCAGCACCCTGGCCTTGTTGCCGGGGAGGGAATCAGCGGTTCGGATTTGCCCTTCACGGCTGGCTGAGCTGTGACTGACAGGTGGGGTGGAGGA